CACGTATTCTCTTGAAGACGATTGATGAAGCATCTCAATCGAAACGTCGAGACTTTTTCAATTACAACAGTTCTTTTCAGAACTACCTACGTGGTGTACCGCAAGCTTCAAAACATATGCTATTACTTCGCCATGCTAACCTTCAAACAATACTATATTTAACAAATTGAGTCAACAAAAACGAATTCAAGTATTATTTTGTAATTGTGACCTAAGTTTGAGCAAATGTTATTAGATTGATGTGAGTGGTGTCCTCATCAAATGACCAGAATTACTTGTAATCATCTATATTCCGCTAAATCTAAAAGTCCAATCCAGTCCAATCCAATATTTGTATAGCACCAAAATCTATTTCCCTATTTAGAAGCACTTTAATTCTCTATACTACAAAAATTCCAATATTGAAAGGCACAATCAAAAGATGTTTTTTTTTTTCAGTTCTGTTTTAAATTTATGCAATGTTTCAGCTGACCGATTATTAAGAGGCAGATTGTTCCATAGGTTTGGTACAGATGAAATGAAACTTCGGTCACTGTGCGAAGAATGGGTCCTTGGAATATTTTATAAAAGCTTGTTTAATGACCGTAAATTTGAACGAGTGTTGTAAGGAATTACCATATGTGATATATAAACTAGTGCCAATCCATTTATTGCTTTCCATGTTAGTATTCTAGCATCTTATTATATGCCATCGTCTGTATTATACCGGTAGTAGCCCGTAGATTTGGTTGGCGCATCGTTTGTGGCTTCGACTCCAAACCTTGAGGTCGGGGGTTCGAAACTACCGCTTGTTTCCTTGAGCAAGGCACTTTATCTACGGTTGTCTCTCCACCCAGGAGTACAAGTGGGTACCTGGTAGGTTCAAACGCAACCTCCGCTGATTACAGCTGCAACATTATGGAATATATGCTTGATCCAGTGACCGGGGTAATAATGTAAGCGCATAAGAGGTCCCTACAATATGCGCTATACAATTCGACAATAATTATTAAGCGTATGATCATATTTTCTCACTCTACAAAGCACGCGAGCAGCAGCATTTTGGGCATGATGCAATTTCTTATGAGGTTGTGAGGTTCTGTGGTACTCTAAAATGTAGAGAGTTCGCATAATTTAGCCTTGATGTGACCAGAGCATGTTATATTGTGATTTCTCATCAGAAATATTTAATGAATACAAATCTGGTATTTGTCACTTGGATACAAGATTAAGCTAAATAATCGTCTTATGTATGTGGCAGACCTTGGAATTTGATATAGAGGGGCCGAGTGAGGGAAATACACAGATTGAGGGTGTAAACCAGGTAAGAAAATTTATGATTATAGCACCTCGGATAGTGGGAAATGGCAGTAAAATAAATGCTATTAAAATGACTTAAAATGTAAATATAATTTTTTTTTCTTTAATTTTGAAAAAAACATAGGTGGGGCGAACTGGGGTCCCCTTGAATCAGCCACTGCACAATAATAAAAAATCATTGTTACCGGTATCTTGCAATATGCAGAAAATAATAGCAAAATAAAAACATTAAAAGTCTTGCTGAGTATAATAACATCATTTTCTTTTTTTTCCTTTAAGTCAAAAAAAAAGGGGAAGGGGCGGCTGTGTCCCATTGAATCCGCCACTGCACGATATTAATTTTCGGAAAATTTAAAAGAAAGTAAAAATCATTAAAGATGTGCTGAGTATATGTAATATAATTTTCTTTAATGTTTTTTACTTTAAAAAATTGGTGGGGGGGGGGCTTGGGTGCGAACTCCTGGTACCCTTGAATCAGCCACTGCACAATAGAATAGACATTGCTATCTTGTAATTTGCGGAAAATTAAAAACAATATAAAAACCGTTAAAGACGTGCTGAGTTAATATGCCAGAGATTTTAAAAATATTTTATTATTCCAATTTTGATTAAAAGCTAACGTAATAAATATAATCCGGCAATTTTAGTGCTAATATCATTGTTCATTTTTTTGCTTTATCAGGGGATAAGTTCATTTGCTGTTTTCAATTTCAATTTCAAATAAACATTTATTTCTTCACACAATACAATATAATATCAAAAGGTAAATATTGAACAGTCGGATTTCATAAAAAAAAAAGAAAAAAGAAGACTTGTGTGAAAGAGGGCACTGCTCAAAAAGTATACGCCAAATGATGAAAGGAAAAACCATTCATCAAGTGGCACTTGTAACGAGCGACCCATATAATAACGAAAGCATTTATTTCTTTGAAAAAAATACATAAACGAAACAAATACAAAACACGGATACAACAGAAAGCAGAGGGGGGAATTGGAGAAATGATTAGGCAAAAATTTATCAATATTACAATAATGGTATTAGAAAAATAAACCTTGATTTTGATTTGATTTAAGCATATTTAGATAAAAGATATTTCTTGACCTTAAAAGAGAAAATTTTCCTGGAAGGGGCCGATATTATTTCAAGGGGGATTTCATTAAAAAGTTTGGAACCACTATATCGAATATTGTGTTGGAGTATGGTAAGTTTGGGTAGAGGAAGGTGAAGGTTGTCACAAATTCTGGTGTTGTAAGGATGTAAATCTGAGTTTTTAACAAAGGAGCAAAGGTTAGCAGGGAGAAGAGAATCGGTAGCTTCATAAACAAAGATACATTGTTGTAAAATATTTATATCGAAAACAGACAACTGATGCAAAGCAAGAAAAAGTGGAGCTGAGTGAGCAAGGAACGGATCATCTGAAATTATACAGACAGCTTTTTTTTTGGAGCTTGTAAATTTGTTCAATGTTGGATTTGTAATTGTTTGCCCAGATAATATTGCAGTAACTAATAAAAGGAAGAACAAGGGATGAATAAATAGAGAGAAGTATATGACTTGGAAGAAAGAAAGAGAGACGATAAATAATACCAATACTTTTTGCTATTTTCAGTTCAACTTCTTTTATATGATTTTTGAAATTAAGTTCATGGTCGAGGTCAATACCTAAGAATTTTGTGTGTTAAACATGTGGAATTGGGTGGTCTCCTATATAAATACTACCGATCTAGTCAAATCCAGATTTATGGCGGCTTCCGAACAGCATGAAGTTACATTTTTCAACATTAACCGAAAGTTTATTAACATTGAAATATTCGGTGACATTTTTTAATTCATGATTAATGGAGTGAAAAAGAGAAACAAGGTTAGAATCTGAACAGAAAATGGTGGTATCGTCAGCATAAAGGTAAAAAGTTAA